AGTTCCCTATTACGCTGGATACACAAAGGCTCTAGTGAGAAAATTAGCAAGAAATCTGACTTCTTCTTTGTGGTATTGAACAGGTGTTTAGTGTCTAGGTTTAGCCTCCAGGCTTCTTCCTGATGCTCAGTGCCAAGTGGACCACAGAGCAATGTGACGTCTAGGATGGAAAACAAACAGGAGCTCTGGACCATTGATTTTAGGATGACTCATCTCTGAGGGATTGTGGAGCAAATGCCTCAGGTCAAATGGAACAGGAGTCAGTCTTGGCAACCAGAACACTGCAACACTTTTAGAGAAGAGATATGGGATAAAATGTACCAGAGCACAATTTATTGTCTTCTTTGTAAATCTCCCTTCTCTCCTTTATTATTTTGTCCTCTTTGGCTTGTACAGAAGCCAAAGCTTTCCTACTAGAATTGAGAAGACCGTGTGAGTTTGTGGCTGAAATTCAGGACTTCCACATTTTTCTTTCTTTCACTTAAACAAGAGTCACAAAAGAGGGCCCCCGATTATTGATCTAGTATTGTATTTGTCAGCTTTATATCCATCTTTCCTTCATTGAGCCTCAAGAAATATATGTGGCTTTCTTCATCCCTGCTTTATGCCGACAACACCCCTCCGACGTTGGTCAGCTGAGGCACTGCAACTGATCCAAATACAGTTGAATGGGGACTGGAACACAGATCCCCAAAGACCTAGTCCAGCATTTGGACCAGGATGCGACCCTGGGGCAGTGGTAATTTGTGAAGACAGTGTAACTTGATTATATCACACATGCGGCTTTTGCATAAAAGCAGTGACTACCAGAAGGAAGGACGTCACCACTAGCAAATGGAAATTTATGGGGAGGGTTTGCTCCAGGGCCATTATCCTGATTTTAACCTCTCTCTCACACACACATTAAGCGATCTAAAAAGATGGAAATCTTCTGGGATTGGCCCCAATCCTCCTGATGGCAAGAGTCGGCTCTCCATCTCCCTGACAGTCAGGACAAGTTTCCTGACAGGCAGTTCTCTTGTGGTCTGGGGTGTTAGCAGCATAGATGCAGAAGACACCTTGATGGCCACAGGTGGACCACGATGGGGATGGGGCTTAAGTAGGGAAGTAAGGCAAGACGGGAGGACTGCTGGGCAGACACATGAAAACTGTAGCTGCTGAATTTCATCCTCCACTCAGGAACAAGTCCTCTGTCTCTCTTTCCATCGGGTCACTCTAGGGGTGAGAAGTCATTTGAGAGGGATGTTTGAGGCTGAGGAGGTGCAGCCATGGCCAGAACATTCGATGGCCAGCTGGGAGACTATCCACCACCATGGTCCTGATACGGTTCCTGGTGCCCCCCGAGGAGGCTGCTCAAGTTCATCATGACAAGGCCTGTTGACGAGAGGCGAAGGGGTTCAAGAATCAGAGAAGGGCATGTTGCTGGCAGAGGAAGCAGCAAGGGCAAGTGGCCTCTCGGCAGGGACCTCCTAGCCAACCTGGGTGTCGCCAATCCGGGGGCTCTCTGTCTGTATCTTCTCTTGCAGCACTTCATTGCTCAAGGGAGACAAATCAGGTCTAGGCCTAATTCTATGCTCAGGCCTCTAGGGAGGAGTACCAGACTTAGGGAGTGGCTGAAGCCACTGGAGTCTATGGAGGGGTAGCAGGGGAGGGTGCCCAGGCAACGCTGTTCCAACAAACGTTGAGTGCCTGTATTCAACATCTGTGTTGTGGCACTCCGTGTTTGGCCCACCTGCATGGTGTTCTAGAACAGGTAGAGGAAGTAGGTTCTGCTCCTCCGAGCCAAAGATTGTTGTAGGGTTTACATCCTCCTAGGAGAGAACTTGGGAGTGAAGTCAACTCCCTGGCAGCCTAAAGCTATTTCGTTTTCTTGTTGAGCCTTGTTGGCTCTTTAAGACATAGTGTTGTTCCAATAAAGAGCTTTTTTGTGTGCACACTTGTTGTGTCCTGATAGAGGGGGGTGAACGGGCACTCACAAACCTATATACATCTATTGCTGTTATTGTTGGGGGGTAGTTATTGTTTTTAAAATACAATGAGTTTGCAATGCATCCTTTCCTAAAAAAAAAAAGCAAAAGCAAAATCAGACATTGTTTAAATTTCAAAAAGGTATTTATCTTAGTCTGTTTCAGCATAAAAGGAACAAAAAAAAAAGTACTGGGAAATATTTAAGACCAATAGCTTTATTTTGGGATGGTCTTCCATGAAACATGATGGATAATATTTAGGCCAGGTGTTACACAATCGGCATGGACACAGACGTAGACAATCAACATGCAAAGGGACACGACTCCAAATCATTTGGAAACTTTCCATGCATTGCTTTGTTTGGCTCCAAGGCCCCTTTCTAGCACAATTTCACTACTTCTATGAGCTCACAATACGACTGCGGACAGGCCATTATCTCTCAGTCTCCGTTCCCTTCCGTGTCTCCTGTTCACAACAGGAAGAACAAATATTGACCTACAATGTGGGGCTGTAACAGTTGCAGCCACATGCAATTGCACTTTGGATAAGGACTCTGCACTGGCCTCAGCTGACGCTCCAATTGCTAAACAAATCAACTGGAGAGGAAACTGATTCTTATGAGGTCTGGATCAAACCAGAATGGACAGAATCAGTTTTGGGTGAGTCTTCTCAGGCACCCCATTCATTAGGTGCAATTCCCTACTACAACGTATGTGATTATTTGTTGTTATGTGTCATCGTCACAATGAGTGATCTCCAAAGTATTGTTTCCTCACCAGCCCTGCTCAGCTTATACTCTTGTAAGACTGAACTTTGTTGCTGTTGTTTAGTCGTTAAGTCGTGTCCGACTCTTCATGACCCCATGGACCAGAGTACGGCAGTCTTCCACTCCTTCCCAGAGTTGAGTCAAATTCATGTTGTTCATGGATTTCCCTCCATAGATTTGAACTGCCAGATGTTTGAGTGTGCATGTAAAAAAATAGTATTTTTTCCATGTCTCTGTCCAAATGTGCTTCTTTACAAAATGTGTCTTTCACAGGTATAAGCTCTTGTATTTCTGAATTGACAAGAGATCTAAGTTCTTGCCTGCAATTTATTTTTTAGTTAAAAACTTACAATTGAGTTCATAAATTTTCAGTGCATCTGTGCCTACAGTTTTGTTTATAGTTGGAAGAATGTTATTTAGGAGTCATTTATGTTGGACTTCTACTTACATAGATATAAATAGCTGATTTATTTATTTATTTATTTTATTTTATTTATATCCCGCCCATCTGGTCTTCCGACCACTCTGATAAGTTTCTAACCATTGAGATGGCAATTTTACAGATCAACTTCAACTCAGGACATAAATTTAATTTGATAATGCACACAAAAAAGAGGGATTCATTTTCAAACTCCATATTGATCTCCATATTGCACCAGAAGTCCTTAAGGACATATGGAAGACCAACAGGCTTCATTTGCAAAAGTGAAATCTTTCCTTCCAGATCTCTCATGCCATCTGATCTCATGCTGGATATTCTGGCATGTTCTTTCAAGAAAATAAACAAACAAACCAGAATATTGATAACACTTTAAGCATTGGTAAAGGTTCCCCTTGACAATTTGTCCAGTCGTGTCCGACTCTAGGTGGTGGTGCTCATCTCCATATCCAACCCACAGAGCTAGTGTTTGTCTGCAGACAATCCTCTGTGGCCAGTGTGACTAGACACGGAACGCCATTTACCTTCCCACCAATGTGGTACCTATTTATCTACTCACATTTTTACATTTTGCATGCTTTCGAACCACTAGTTTGGCGGAAGCTGGGACAAGCGATGGGGGCTCACTCTGTCACGTAGATTCGATCTTACAACTGCAAGTCTTCTGACTTTGCAGCACAGAGGCTTCAGCCGTTTAACCTGAAGCATCACCACGTCCCTTTAAGCATTGAAATACGTGTAAATTCTTTATTATTTTAATTGTATAACAATCCATCTAGCACAGTGGTTCCCAACCTTGGTTCAACACAGCTAGTAGAGAAGACTTCTGGGAGTTACATCTGGGGACCCAAGGCTGGGAACCACTGGTCCAGCATCTTATAGAAAAAGAGAGAGAATGGTTTGGAAACCAGGATCAGGACAAGACATATTGGCTCCTGAGGCAGAGAAAAAAATTGCCATCTTCAGAATTCACCTGGAGTTCTTAGTCTGGCACTGGCCAGTTTTCTCCTCAGAACAGTGTGCTAGTTTAGGATGCAGGGGCATCAGCCCAATGGTCCATGCTATTCTCCCAGGGATGTGGTGGCGCTGCAGGTTAAACTTCAGAAGCCTCTGTACTGTAAGGTCAGAAGACCAAGCAGTTGTAAGATCGAATCCACGCGACGGAGTGAGCTCCTGTTGCTTGTCCCAGCTCCTGCCAACCTAGCGGTTCAAAAGCATGCAAATGCGAGCAGATAAATAGGGACCACCATGGTGGAAAGGTAATGGCATTCCGTGTCTAGTCACGCTGGCCACGTGACCACGGGAAACTATCTATGGACAAATGCTGGCTCTATGGCTTGGAGATGGGGATGAGCACTGCGCCCTAGAGTCGGACACGACTGGACTAAATGTCAAGGGGAACTTTAACCTTTTTATTCTCCCATACCTCACTGCTAAGTTTCATTCTCCCTGCACCTGATGTCTCACCCTGCCTAATAGCACAGCCAACCCTCTAAGCAACAGGTCTCAAATAAGCAAGCCACCATTGTGACCTGGAGCGAGACCTGCATTGTTCAGCATTCATTCACTTTTTTTCAGACTTTTATTTCTTTTACAGGAACTGTCTGCCATCAGCTAGGAAAAATGACCACATCAAGTTGGCAGCCTGTCACGGCCAACAGTCATGTGTGAATTATGTCGGGTCAAAGGAAGGGCAGTATAATATTTACACATTGCCAGACTCTGTGGTAAGAAAGGGGAGTGAACTTCCTTTCTCAATGTCCCCCAAGAGATTAGAACATTCCCAAATGGATGGTGCAATTCTCTGAAATCCTTATATATATAGGACCCTTCTCCTTGAAGAACCACAGCCTGAAATTCGATTCCACGTCCTTTCCAGCCCAGCAAAAGCAGGACACCACCAACCATCAGCCATGAAGATCCTCTTCCTTCTCTTCGCTGCTCTTCTATTCTTCGTTCAGATCATGCCAGGTAAGATGATATTGGGTGGAAATGACCGCAGAAGGTGAGATACAGAGTACTGTGGTATATTTAGTAATGGTTCAACAGTGGAATATTGCTGTATCTGAAGACAGTTGAGATGGTCATGCTATTGTTGTTTAGTTGTTAAGTCGTGTCCGACTCTTTGTGACCCTGTGGACCAGAGCACGCCAGGCCCTCCTGTCTTCCAACGGCCTCCCGGAGCTGGGTCAAATTCATGTTGGTCACTTCGCTGACACTGTCCAACCATCTTGTCCAGTGGGGAATCAAACTCCCAACCTCTGGCACTGTGGTCAGATACCTAAACTCCTGAATTATTCTACCAGGGAATCCTAAAATGTGGAGATGCCCTTCTGAGATTTTTATACCTCAAGGTGCCCCATTATCTTGGCTGATCGAGTACATTACAAACCTTGACTTGAATTTATGTCAGTGCCATTTTTAAATACCCTGGGGGTAACAACTCTTGTTATTATCTTTATATGGTGCCATCAGTGTGTATAGCATATGTGTTAAAGTAGAAATTTAACACAAAGGAAGACAACAGAAGAAGGAAAACTGAGTCATGAATTAGAAAGTCCAAAATGGGAATGTCAGCTGAGCCGTGAAAAGCGGCTTACAAAATGTGGGTTTTTGTGGAAAGCATTGAAGGAAATAGAAGAGGGTTGGAGTTTCCTGGAAGAAATTCCAAGCATAAAGATCAGCAAAGGGAGAAAGTAGATTTTCTGAGGGAATCTTCAGAAGAAACAGAAGTGCACTTGAAACAGAGATGGAGGTTGGTGGACTTGAGCAACTGAAGACCATGGGCAAGTAGACCTTGGGATAGGAGACTAAGGGAATACAGTGGTGCCCCAATAGACGATTATCTCGCAAAACGATGAATCTGCATGATGATGAGTTTTTGCAATCGCTATAGCGCTTCGCAAAACAGTGTTTTCTATGGGCGATTTTAGCTATACGATGTTTCGGAGCATACTTTGCAAAATGGTTTGTTTTTTTTTCGAGACCGATTTTCGCAAGATGACAATTTTGACAGCTAGGTCCATGACTCGCAAAACGGGTCGATTTCGGGACCGATTTTCAAAAGACAGCGATTTTAACAGCTGATCCGTGCTTTGTAAAACGGTTTTTCTATGGGCGATTTTCACAAAATGACGACCATTTGCCCCCATTGGAACACATTAAATGGATTTCAATGCATTCCGATGGGGAACCGCATTTCGCAAGATGATGTTTTTGCAAAACAGTGAATTTCATGGAACGAATTAACACCATCTTGCGGAGCACCACTGTACAGGAGAGAGGCAATAAATATGTGTAGTACATAGTAGAAGGAAGTAAAACTGCCAGATTTAATCATTGTTTAATGATTGCTCCACAAAGATTACTCAGCACATTAATTTCACAAGAAATTCAAGAGTCTCTTTTGCTTTGCTTTTCTTCTCCCATGTTCTGTGACAGGAAATGCTGACCCTGCTCCTGATACCATGGAGTGCAAGCGGAACAGGGGCTTCTGCAAATACGGTGTTTGTCCTGGAATAACTGAACCAACTGGAGGGACATGCCAGTATGGATACTTGGTCTGCTGCAAATCGTAAGGCAACAGTTCCTATGTTTATCATCTGTGTGAAGGGAGAGTGTGAACATTAGGGATTCTATAATCAATAGTCTCTTAATATAGTGATCTCACAAGAGGCAGAGGTCATTGGGTTCCATGGGGCTTCCATCTGAGTACATGTGTATGGAATCATGAGCTCTCTCTCCAGATATGGAACTTAGCATGTTTCTATACATTGAAGGTGGAGATGAGCACCATGCCCTAGAGTCGGACACAGCAAAGCTGCAAACCACAGTTTCCCACACCTGCAGCCCCATATGTTATCGGAATCCAGAAACCTCTGACTGTTGGCTTTTCTGGTATCAGGGGCTCCAGTTTTAGGAAACACTGTTCTAAATTGTTTAGATCTGGAAAGCTCTTTAAGGTAAAGGTAAAGGTTCCCCTTGACAATTTTTGTCCAGTCGTGTTCGACTCTAGGGGGCGGTGCTCATCCCCGTTTCCAACCCACAGAGCCAGCGTTTGTCCAAAGACAATCTTCCGTGGTCACGTGGCCAGCGCAACTAGAGATGGGACACTGTGACCTTCCCACCGAGGTGTTCCCTATTTATCTACTTGCATTTGCATGCTTTCGAACTGCTAGTTTGGCGGGAGCTGGGACAAGCGACGGGAGTTCAGTTTGTTGCATGGATTCGATCTTACAACTGCAGGTCTTCTGACCCTGCAGCACAGAGGCTTCTGCAGTTCAACCTGCAGCGCCACCACGTCCCTTACTCCTTTATTATTCTATCTGTCCATCTGAAAAAACATCAGAGGCCCTTTCTGAGTGACCTTTCTATCAAAAGCAACCAGAAACATGGATCTCAGTGCCCCAGGGGTCTAAACATATACTAGGATGATGGCAAAGTGTATCTTTTCTGATGTTGAATGAAAATTGAAATAGCACCTCTTTATCAGCCACAGGGTCAGAAAGCATCTGGTGGATCATGCCCAATGTAGTAATTAGTCATGGGCTAAGTTTGAATTTGTGGATGACAGCCCCCAGATGTCTGTGGGAATTCTCCCAACTAGACTTCTTGGGGCTTTAATTGGACCCATAATCCCTTGCAGCTCCCATGGAGTTTAGTTTTGCTCACTCATTTTGCTGGGATAATTCTTGCAGACTTCAGGAAGCTGTGGTCCACAAATTCCAAAAACCTCAGTCCTAGTAAGAATCTTGCAAATGATACATCCCACAAGGGAGAGTCAACTTCCTTCCAAATTAATCTGTTTCGTTCTCAAAGAGCTGTTACCTAGTGGTACAGTATGGTTGATGGAGAGATGTAAAGAACTCATTATGACAGTCCCCATAGCCAACAGTCCTGCATAATGCAAGTCCCAGAACACTTATTCTGTTAGATAAGTCTATAAAGCAAAAAGCAAAAAGTGTTCTGCTTATATCCTGCCCATAGTGCCCAGCAGTGTACAATTGAATTATGCAGGCTACACATTGCCCCACCTCCACAAGCTGGGTTCTCATTTTACCGACCTCGGAAGGATGGAAGGTTGAGTCAACCTTGAGCTGGTTACCTGAATCTGCTGGGACTGACCCAGATAGTGAGCAGAGTTTTCACTGCAGAACATCAGTTTAACGACTGCATTACTAGAGCAGTGGTTCCCAACCTTGTGTGGTCCTGAACTTTTGGAAATGCAGTTCCCAAAAGCCTTCACCACCAGCTCTGCTGGCTGGGGTTTTTTGGAATTGCAGTCCAAGAACACCTAAGTTACCCAAGAACTGGTTGTTGTGGGTTTTTCGGGCTTCTTGGCCGTGTTCTGAAGGTGGTTCTTCCTAACGTTTTGCCAGTCTCTGTGGCCGGCATCTTCAGAGGACAGCAAACTGTGCCCGAAAAACCCACAACAACCATTAGATCCCGGCCGTGAAAGCCTTCGCGAATACCCAAGAACTACTAGTCTAAATCAACAAATGAAGAGCAAGTCTTTTGTGAAGTTAGCGGCTATTAGTTACCCATTCAGAACCAAACTGTCCTGAGATATGTTGTGTCTCAGGAGAGATGGCTTGCAACAATGTATAATTCCTGGGGAAATTCATTTCTACCAGATACTGTGAGGATTACAGTGATACTCAGAGGGATCAGGGAAGCTGGGGGGGGCAGGTAACAGATGATGCCATAGTTCCTGCTACTTAGAAAACCTTGGGACTCCAAACTTTTGCCCTGACTCTAGTAAACCTCTGTTTCTGCCGTTTAGAAAGATTTTCATAACATGCTTTCAAAATCTGCTTCTTTGCAATTCCACCTTTTGGAACAACAGAGAACAAACCTAACTAGGTCTTGAAATAATTTCATTTGAGGCAACATCTCACAGATTCTTCTGGCTGGTGGATTTGGGGAGTTGTTGTGCGAAAAGGAAACTGGTCACGATAGTGAGGGGATTATGGGACTTGTCATCCTAAAATATATCGTTCCCCACCTCCGAGCCTGCGGCATCTTGTATTTGACAGCCCTTTGGCTCATTGGCATGCATGCATGACTAAGACAAACTATGACTGCAATTGACCACATTCTATGTATTGATTTTTCCCCCTCAGGCCATGGAGAAACTGAGGCAATGATAGCAAGAACACGGGACCAGATCAACTTCAAGAGTCAAAAATGAATAGCCATTTTATTCATACTGTGAAAGGCTGAAGTTCTGAGGAAAATCCAAAAAGCACTCCACTCCAGATCCTGCAGACAAGTGTACTTTGGCTCTGTGGAGAAACATCCGCCTCACTTCAGCTCTACAAATGCATTAATAACCCAATTACAGTCCTGTTCGATCATAGAAATGAAACAATTTCCCAGATTCTGAGAATTCAGTAATTAAACCATGGTGTTACTCTGTAATGTGAGAAAAAAATTATATGTTCAGATAAAGAAAACTGTGTGTGTGTGAAATATAGGTGTTTTGAAACCCTGTTTTCTTTTCTAAAATTCTGGAAGAGGAAAAGTTCCGTTTATGAACATTTCATTACTATAAAAATAAACTATGCAACATGAAGTTCTGTGGTCTGTTTTGTTAGTGGTGTGCATTGAAATAGATTACCTATAAAAACGATACACTTCCGTGCAGCTTTTTATTATTCCAAAGGAACTGCTATTTCTGAATTCGTAGAGTAACCTCGGTTGAGGTCTGAAAAGACTTGCTGATAAAATGCCCACAGCAGTCCTTGTGAATAAAATTAACTGGACCCCTTTCCAATGGTAAAATTGTAAAAAAGTGTGATGTTGTGATGGTACCACTGTGACTATCAGTGTGAGGTGATGGAGAGGGTGGTGGAGAAGGACTTAGGAGAGCTGAGTTCAAATCGTTGTTTGCCCATGGAAAATCACTGAGGGGAAGGTGGACATCATCATCATCATCATCATCATCATCATCATCATCATCATCATCATCATCCCCTCCATGGGCACAGGCCTTGTTGAGGCGGAGGGACTTGTGTGCTTCAGTGAGGTTGAGAGCTATGCTGAAAGGTCTGCCAAGCCAGACAGGTCTCAGCTGAGAAGCCAGACCCACTGTGTCCACCAACCATCAATTATGAGAGGAAATAAACAAAAATCCATACTGAATTGGTCAACAAGGACCGCATCAGATGCTATAACCCAGTGGTCCCCAATAGCTTTGAGACCACGGACCAGTTTAGCATGCATGCAAAGGGGCAGGAGGGATCCGTGTGTCCATGTACAGTATGCATCCGGGAGTACATCTGTATGTGTGTGCGGGGGGGCATACATGCATCAGTGTGTGCATGCGGGGGTGGCATGTGTGTGTTTGTGCATGCATAGGGGGCATGTGTGCATCCATGTATGAGTGGGGGGCATGTATGCATCTGTGCATCCATGGGGGGGCGTGCATCGGTACATGTGGGGGTGGGTGGGAGATCTGTCTCTGCAGTCCGGCCCTGCCAAGGCCATGGACTGATTCCCATCTGCAGATCCGGGGTTGGGGACCCCTTCTATAGCCCCCGGGCACCCGGTGAGAAACGGCTACAGGGCTCAGCAGACTCTCTTGAGGGACCAGAACAGGCTGCTGCAAAGCTACTGGAACAACATATACAAAAACAAAAAATGGCAATATTAGAAACAGCATACATCCTGTGCCAATATTTAACAGATACAGTGGTGCCTCGCTTGACAAGGATAATCCATTCCAGCGAAATCGCTGTAGAGCGAAATCTTCGTCACGCGAAATACAAAAGCCAATTGAAATGCATTGAAAACTGGTTCAATGCATTCCAATGGGTGAAATACCTCAGCGTCCAGCGAAGATGCTCCATAGGGTGGCCATTTTCCAATGCCTGTGCAGCGAAAAATCAGTACTGAACACAGTGGGGAGCCATTTTGAACAGCTGGCGGCCATTTTGAAAACCAGACGATCAGCTGTTTTGACTGTTGTAATGCGAAGAATCGGTTTCCGAAGCAAGGAACCGATCGTCGCAAAGCAGATTTTGCCCATTAAAATCATTGTTTTACAATCACAATAGCAATCGCAATAACGATAGCAAAAATATTGTCATGAAGCGGATTGGTCATCAAGCGGGGTAATCGTTAAGCAGGGCGCCACTGTACTTAGGTTTAGATATGGGAGGCAGTGGAAGACAGGAGTGCTCTGGTCCATGTTATAATTTTATGTTTTTGAAGAAGGCAAAGAAAGAGAAGGAGAAGGAGAAGAAGAGTCAATTCTGACTTATGGCAACCATTTTCAGGGTTTTTTTAGCTAGAATTTATTCCGAAGTGGTTTTCTATCCCCTCTTCTCCAGGGCACTTTGGGACTGTAACTGTATAGGAATTTCTACTTTCTGGTATCAGATGTATGACAGTCACTTCTCAGATGAACTTCTTGGAAGGCCTCACTCAGTGGAATCCTGTGTCTGCCTTCTCTGAAGCAAGAACTGCTGGATAGCTCAGTGGTTTAGGCATCTGTCCGCAGAGCCAGAGGTTGGGAGTTTGATTCCCCCACTGGGCCTCCCTGATACAGGCTGGACTCAATGATCTATAGGGTCCTTTCCAGCTCTGGGATTCTAAGATTATTATTAGCTTGGATCCTGTTCATCTTCAGAGGGTGCAATTGCTCGGTGGCCACAGCATTCAGCGATTCTTTGACTTGCAGCTACAATATCGAAAGTTCAGACCTGTGTTACTGTTTAGATTGCACTCCTCCCCCTTTTTTCATTCTGGAATATTATTATTTATTTATTTTCTTACTCAGCACAGTGTCCTCTTAGGACTGAAAGTATGTGTGATTGTGGAAGGATTAATAATGCTTCCAATAAAATATGTTAAGGTAACAGGCCAGTAACACACACACACACGGACGTGGGCACACAAACTCACGCAACCACACAATGTTCGACTCTAGGGCCCGGTGCTCATCCCCGTCTCCAAACCGTAGAGCCAACATTTGTCCAAAGACAGTTTCCTTGGTCACGTGGCCAGCGCAACTAGACATGGAACGCCATGACCTTCCCACCGAGGTGGTCCCTATTTATCTACTTGCATCTTTACATGCTTTCCAACGGCTCAGTTGGCAGGAGCTGGGACAAGCGACGGGAGCTCACTCCATCGCCTGGATTCGATCTTACGACTGCTGTTCTTCCGACCTTGCAGCACAGAGGCTTCTGTGGTTTAGCCCTCAGCACCACCACGTCCCTGCTAATTTGGTGTCTTTAGGTGCTTGGGGGGACATTTTATTGAGTTTTAGAGTTTAATTGACAAATTGATTCATCAATTCAACAGAAAAAAAGGTAAATTTGTTATTCATGATTCAGTGACCTTGATGAATCATGAATCAAAATGCATCATCATTTTTCCGATTTGTGGACATATCTAGTAAGCAGACTGCATATTTTTGTTAGAGGTTCAGCAATGCCAAATTTGAGTTGTTAATACTGTGATTAATACCATTGTGATCCACTGAAATATGTTCTTTTTAATTTGACAGTAAGGTCTAAGGTGAAAGTCCATTATTAAGTTCTTGCAATAATGAATAAATTAAACACTTGCTTAAGTAAATTAATACCTACTTCCTTGTATTACTAAAAGTTCCCTGGCATAAAATTAGTTGCTGACTATGAGAGTAATATAAGATTAAACTAGATGTCCAAGGGAGTGTGACTAGCATTTTTTTCCCTTTCCATGACAAGATTTCCTCAGAGATATGTTCCTCAGGAATCCCATGTTTACTTTCCAATGGCTAATCAGAAAGCAAGGCATGGAAAATGCAAATTGCAAAAAAAAGCACATGCTTTGACAAGCAGATGTCTTTTCCCACTCGAAGGAGCACTGTGTCTAAATACGCATGCTTACATTATCATCTGGTTTGACAGCTTGGGGACTATGTTAGAAAAGATTTTGGCTCCTTCTCTATTATAGTGAAAATGTGAGACTGGGCTAAAACATTTTCTTTTATATTCTAATTCCCTGTCTTTCATTCCGTACCCCCAGGATGGGGACAAGAGATACCAGTTGCCTCAATGCTGTTTATTTTATTATTTCTATAAAATATTTTACCCCACCTTAGCCAAGGCAGCCTACATCATTAAAAAGACAACTCTTTCATTCCATACCCCCAGGATGAGGACAAGAGATACCAGTTGCTTCAATACTGTTTATTTTATTATTAAAATATTTTTGCCCCACCTTTTTCCTTAAAAAAAGAGCCAAGGCAGCCTACCTAATTTTAAAGACAAATCTGAAAGCTAAAAACAGTAAGTGTACAAATCTGAAAACTAAAACCAGTAAGTGTACAAATACTAAAAAAGATCAAACAAATACTGCACTAGAAGACAGTAAAGAAAAGTAACACTGAAAACACATTCAAAGCAGTAAGGCACAACACTCCATTAAAAAAAAAAAACCTCACTTGCCGACCATTCACTGAGGGAAGGCTTGTCTGAAGAGAAACTCTATTTTGTTTTTAAAAAAAACACCACTTGGAGACCATTCAGGGAAGGCTTGTCTGAAGAGAAAGGTCTACAGCCTGCTTGTGGAAGGACGGCACAGATGGGGCCAGTCTGGCCTCCAGTGGGAGGGAGTTCCAAAGTCTGGGAGCACCAAAGAGAAGGCCCTCTCCTGTGTGCCCACCGAACACAACAGGGAAGACCCCTTAACACCTGAGTTGACTTAAAAGACAGAGAAAGTCCTTGAGAAAAAGTTGGATTTGGATCCCTGCATTGAGCAGGGGGTTGGACTCCATGACCTTATAGGTCCCTTTTCCATCCTGCCCTTCTAGGCTTCAATGATTTTCTTTGACCCTTTTGATCCTACAACGATGGCACGGCAAATGATCAAAAGCCCAGGCAACCCTGCAGACAGAACCTTGAGAAGTGACATGCTGTCCCCCAACAATCACAGAATACCCTGCGATGATGGATTTGGGAAATTACTATTCCCTCCAACCCCTCTCCCATCCTCAACCATCATTATTCAGCCCTAACCTTTTCCCCAAAACAGATTTCCAAGTTTCCTCTCTCTTCTCCAGCTGAAGTTGCCCATTTTCTCACTTTGTGCATCCCCATCCCCCTTTACTTTTTACACAAAGCAGCCTTTCATGCCAAAACAGGTTGCATCTCCTTCTCACATACCACCCCTCCTGACAGAACGGGCCATTCCCAGCTGGAAATTTCTGAGGACCCAGAGTTTTAGATGCCCAGAAACCTGCCGATGAGAACAAAAGACCCTTTTACTGTGTTTCCCTGAAAATAAGACAGGGTCTTATATTAATTTTTGCTCCAAAAAAACACATTAGGGCTTATTTTCAGGGGATGTTTTATGTTACAGTCATATCTTCTTCCAGTTGTTGCACAATGCTGCACAATGGTAGAGGGTAGGGGTTTACTTAACTGCGGCTTATGTTTGGGTTGTTGTTGTTTAGTTGTTAAGATGTCTCTGACTCATCATGACCCCATGGACCAGAGCACGCCAGGCCCTCCTGTCTTCCACTGCTTCCTGGAGTTGGGTCAAATTCATGTTGGTCACTTCGATGACCCTGTCCAACCATCTCATCCTCTGTCGTCCCCTTCTCCTCTTGCCTTTACACTTTCACAACATCAGGGTCTTTTCCAAGGAGTCTTCTCTTCTCATGAGATGGCCAAAGTCTTAGAGCCTCAGCTTCAGGATCTGTCCATCCAGTGAACACTCAGGCTTGATTTCATTCAGAATGGATGGGTTTGTTCTCCTTGCAGTCCAGGGGACTCTCAAGAGTCTTCTCCAGCACCACAGGGGTAGTGGTGCTGGAGGAGACTCTTAAAAGTTCCTACTTTTGGGGTAGGGCTTATATTATGAGCATCCTAGCATCATACTAGGGCTTATTTTTGGGCTAGGTCTTATTTTTGGGAAATCAGGGTATACAAAGGGGGGGGGGGAATTTCTCAAAGGCCCTCTCCTGTGTCCTCCCACAGACACCTGTGATGATGGTTGAACCGAGAGAAAGGCTTCCCCTGTCAATCTTAACACTGCAGCAGACTCATAGAGGGAGAGGAGGTATTTGAGACAGCTTGGACCCAATGTTTCAAAATGTTCATGAATGCCTGTGTTGTGGAATTTTCCTAGTTTCTCTCATCTCTTTGCTCCTGTGGCTTATTAACATAGCTAAAGGATTTCAACAACTTTGGGAACATAATGTTCTCTTTTATGGTACACCACCCCCTTTTCATCCAATCCTAGGTCCACTGGGGGAACAGCCCATCCATGGCTGGTAACAAGTTATGTCAACATTTAAGAAAGAGTGATGCTCTGTCCAGTATCCCGACAATAACTTAGGGGCTAATACTTGTTGCTCAGGGAAGGCATGGTGAATCACAGCAAACTCAGTCCAGGTTAGCCCTTACTTTTAAATACCCAACTCACGATTCTTAACTAAGGAATTGGATTGGAGAGAAAGAACGGAGGGGTTGAAAAAAATGAGTAGCTGCTCCACAGCAAAGATTAATTCCTCTCCTCTTCCAAGAGAACCTCAGGTCCACCATGGAACAAGTTTTTAGTCGCTGGTTTTGATTTATTAGAAGTGATTATCAATATTCTACTTCTGATTATTTCTGGCTGAGTGTGCATAGTTTGCTTCATGTTATGAAAACTGTGTGAGTAGTTATCTCACGAATTCAGGTGGTATATAAGCTTAATAACACATCAAGCAAAGAAGTTTCCCCCTTTTGCTGAACAAATTCTCAAAATGTATACTGAATTTTCAGAGCCTGAGCAAGTTACCTTTTTAGTTACAATCCCAGAGTTCCCCAAATGGCAGGACCAAGAGGAGGAATTCTGGGGCTTCTTGTCTTAAAAAGTAACTTAACGTAATCCAAGTCACTTAGTTGTAGTCTAAAAATTTTAGCCTTGGAAAAAAAGCACTTCTATTCAACTCAACTCAACTCAATTCAACTCAACTTAAAATAATTATATTTAACCTCCTTGAGGTTCCAAAGCTCCCTAGGGCTCCCATTTTGCCTCAGGAAGCCTTTGCGAGTCTCAGGATGGCAAGAGGAAATATTTAACATCAGAAAATCACCAGCAGATTGTCAGTGGCCATCCTTTTTTTTTTCCCAATTTTTTTTTATTTTTTAACATAAGGGGTGACAAAAAGGAAAAAGGGAATTGGAATTAATGAGGAAGAGGGGAGACAATAACACACTGATATCCAATCTCTACCTGTTGCCATATCAAGATTTTAAGACGTTATTCTGTTTACTGTTTTCTGCCTTGTAGATAAAGTTCTCATTTCAATATACAGTATGTTATTCAGACGCTGCCTGTTGATTCTGTCCACTTGTTAAATAAATCCCATCTTTCTGTTGCCTTTTGCAGGGGATGATCTTTCATGACTTCTGATAAGATATCCATTTCGGCTATTTCCCGTATCTTTTCCATCAGATCTTCTTGTTTCGGTACCATTGGACTTTTCCAATTTCTAGCATATATAATTCTAGCTGCCGTAACAATATATATAACTATGTATTCCTTTGACTTATCTATATTATCAGGTATCATACTCAGTAAAAACAATTCTGGGGTTAATGGCACCTTACAGAGCAATAATTGTTATAACATAACATGTACTCTTTTCCAGTATTTAAAACATAACATGTACTCTTTTCCAGTATTTTTTCGCTACTCCACATGACCACCACATATGATAATAACTTCCCACTTGTGTTTCACATTTCCAGCACTTATTTGATACATCTGTATACATCTTTGACAATTTTTCTGGGGTCATGTGCCACCTATAAAACATTGTCAGTGGCCATCCTGATCCAGTTGGCAGGGCAGTGATTTCTTGATATTAAAGGTTTCAGCCTCACCCCAATCCTGAGGCTTTCTAAGGCCTCGGAACCTAGAGCAAGAGATGAGAAGTTTTATAATAAATATGAACATTGGGATGGAATGATGTCATCCCTTTATATACAGCAAGCAGTTTTGCAACAATTGGATTTCATCCATGGTGAGATAAAAGACCGTTGTCCCTATTTAAGCCACAAAAGAGAAACTTTTTGTGGATTCTTGCTCTATTCTTTCTAGTTCCCATCTGTCTCTGAAGTGACTTTGGGTACATGGCTTAGATGAGCCTCTCATCAATGCAAGTGGCTTTCTGCTGTGCAGCCTGTGGGCTCCTGCCATGAAAAATAACCTGACGTACTTGAGCAATGTATCCTTGTGAGCCAACAATGAACGGAACAACCTTTGTCCTTTTCTGCTTTTTGCTTTTTTTTCTTCTTATCAGAGTAGATACCATTCCAGAATGCCAGATCCAGGCGAACTTGGAGCTTAGAGTCAGACAGCTGATTCTTCATCCACCTCCTTTCCCCTCCAATCCTGATTCCCTTTTGGGAACAGCCCACTACTGGTGGGGGAAAAAAAAGTAAACAATTGTGAGATAATTGTCTACTTATAAAATCTTTGACGTTCAGTCTAGGGGCATGTGCTGGGTATCAGATTAACCTGCTTCATGAAATAAACAGTGAAATATTACCTCTTGTGTTCCAAACTTGGACCCATAAATACCTCCACTGTTCAGTTGCTCATTTCTACTTGGCCTGCGCTTCAGATTTCCGTGAGGTGCGAAGACTACACACAGAGCTTTAGTCCGCAGCTATGAAGACCCTTCTCCTCCTCTTTGCCATCTTCTTGGTTTCCTGCCAAGCTGTTCCAGGTAAGTGGGGGAGGACCTTCAAGGGTGTAGAAGTCCCAGAAAAGCTGAAGCTAACTTGGTCCTTGCAATCTCCTTTATAAATTGTCAGGCTGGATATTCACTGGCAGCCAGGAGAATCTTCAACGGGTCCTTCAGCCTCTAGCCATGAAAGAAGAGAGAAATAGACACCCCTTCTCCCCCAAGGGAGAAACATCCCAAGACAGAGACCTCTGTCCTTAAGAGACACCATTGAAGACTAGCACAATCTTTTCAACATTCATGGTTACAGTGGTGCCTCACATTACGATGTTAATTTGTTCCAGCGAAATCGCTGTAAAATGAAAACGTAATGCGAAAATAAAAAGCCCATTGAAACCTCTTCAGTGCGTTCCAATGGGCTGGAAACTCACCATCCACCGAAGATCCTCCATAGGGCAGCCATTTTCGGGGGCTGTCTTGCGAGGAATCCATCCCAGAAAACAGCGGGGAGCCATTTTATTTATCTGGTGGCCATTTTGAAACTGCCGATCAGCTGTTGGAAAATCGTCATTTTGAGAAGAATCGGTTCCCGAAGCAGGGAACTGATCATCGTAAAGCAAAAAACCCTATTCAGACCATCGTTTTGCGATTGCAAAAGTGATTGCAAAAACGTCATCGTAATGCGGTTTTGTTGTAATGTGGGACAATCGTAAAGCGGGGCACACATCTATTTAAAATCGTAGGAGTAGACCGCATGGAAACTCCAGACTGAAATATTTGTGTGTTTGATTCTCATTTTCAAATCCAGACTACCTTGCAATGTGTGCCTGCAGTGAGCAAGAGGAGCTGAGGTTCTCTGTGTTTTGCTTCCTCTGCCCTTTGCTTTGCAAACCACACACACAGGACTCTAACCAAAAGGGCAGAAGAAGGGGCTACCCCGCCTGCTGGCAGCTCCTGCATCCTGCCAGGACTGTTTGCATGTCACTGAAGCAGAATGCAGCTACAGTCTTTAAGCAGAAGTTTCCCACAGTAGTAGTTCATTCATTCATTCATTCATTCATCATTCATTCATTCATTCATTTGGTTTTTATATCCCTTCATTTGGCTATCCCGCATCTAACCTAATGGTTACTCTGGGTGGTTAACATGAATAATAAGAGCATAACAAAAATATTACATAATCAGTGTCAACACAAAATAAATAACTAGTTAAATTAAATAATAAAAGAAGACAATTCAAACAGGTAAACCATTACTGAGAAATTTAAAGCATGCGGTAATTAGAGAAAAGACTAATGCGCACGGGTGTTAATTTGGCTCATTCTGAAACACCTAATGAAACAAGAATGTTTTAAAGAGCTTTTTAAAGGACACCAGGAGGGAGGCAAAGCAGATTTCAGGTGGTAAATCATTCCAAAGGCAGGGTGAAACTGCATTTTCTTGTTTATATAAGTTTTGTTTTTCATTTCTGTTCTATATCATCTGGAGTAGCAATTTGCTATATAGGCAGGATTGTAATGAATGAACAAACAAGCAAGCAAGGGAACTACCTACCTACCTACCTACCTACCTACCTACCTACCTACCTACCTACCTACCTACCTACCTAACTAACTAACTAACTAACTAACTAACTAACTAACTAACTAACTAACTAACTAACTAACTAACTAACTAACTAAAAATAGTGATGACAATACCTTTCTTTTGGCTCATCACCTTTTCCCCAGTGGTACAAATAGACTTCATGCAGCCCATCCTACCTATGCTGCACATTCATCCGCCTATATATTTGTTCTGCATTATATGCTATTGATGTCTCAGTTTCCTTGCTCATCCCACTCCTAGCGGCCACCCTCTTTTGTTGAGCACAATCCAGAGAAAAGTTTACATCTATCCAAAATGTGATGGAAATGCTTCAACAACAACAACAACAACAAATCATGGATTTGAAATGGGGTGAATTCCATTTGGTGCAATACGCTGGGGAAGTGTAAATTAAAATACAGACCAAATGAAGCCAGACCCCTATTTACCTGAACCTCTCTTATAGCATTTCGGTGGCAGGGGTTTGCGGAGAGCAATGATTATGGAACCTGATTTTGGAGGTGAACCTGTAACGTCATTGTTCCATTTCTGTTTTGCTTCCTCTTCGTCTTCCAGTCTAACTCTGCTGCGATATGTTCACTGCAACTGAAAACGTTACTGTGATCATTCACCCCTCCCTCCCAAGCCATTCCTCACAGATGGGATGTTTCTCTTTCTACAGGAGATGGTTCGGATGCACTTGATACACTTGAATGTGTTCGGAACGGGGGCTCCTGTAACTTTGGTCCATGCAGGGGCATTTCTCAACCTATGGGAACCTGCCGGAATGGCGCTTTAACCTGCTGCAGATGGTAAGTCAAGGCAGTGAGCCAAGACATCTTGGCTGGAACAAACATTATTGTACAAATAGCTATTTAGTAGAATTAGGGTTGAATAAGCAGTAAGGACGTGGTGGCACTGCGGGCTAAACCACAGAAGCCTGTGCTGCAGGGTCAGAAGACCAAGCAGTCATAACATCGAATCCATGCGACGGAGTGAGTGCCCGTCGCTTGTCCCAGCTCACGCCAACCTAGCGGGTTCGAAAGCATGCAGATGCGAGTAGATAAATAGGGACCACCTCGGTGGGAAGGTAACAGCGTTCCGTGTCTAAGTCGCACTGGCCATGTGACCACGGAAGATTGTCTTCGGACAAGATGCTGGCTCTATGGCTTGGAAACGGGGATGAGCACCACCCTCTAGAGTCAAACACAACTGGACAAAAATTGTCAAGGGGAACCTTTACCTTTACCTAAGTAGTAAGGAAGGGATGGTCACTCTCAAATTGGCCTTCTCAGCCACACTAGATGCTGTTCCAAGACTTCTATTCAGAGCACGTTACCATAGTCTCTTGAAACTGAAGGATGCCTACAGTCAGTAAGGATATTATTCAGTGGCTAGGTTGGGTTTCTTTCCCCCACTCCTGGAATCACCATCTGATCTACAGAACTTTTCTCGGCCACACTGTTTGTGGTCTTCTCAAATATCCTACCCAAATTTAAGGGGATGGCACTTTTTTCTGTCCCTTTGTACGTGCTACTGCCATCTCTTCCCACTGTGAACTCAGCCCTATGAAGTATCCAGGATCTGCATGCATACAGCTCTAGGTGTGTGTAGTTGCTTCACTTTCTATGAACGAATACAGGAGGTGGAAAAGGATCTGGAAGAAAATTTGCAGGGTCTCCCCCAAAGCCAGCATGGCCAGTGGAATTGGCTAGAAACAGCCATCTTTAAAAAGTATATTTTCCAAATGGCTGTCCATTTTGCTGTGCTTCTGGTGAAATTGCAGTGCGTCTTTAGTGTCATGTTGCAGCCCCCCTGAACACACTGTATGGGGGAATCAGGATGTCAAAAGCAAAAGCGGATGGAAATGGTTGGTGAAGAGAACAATTGAGGATCTGGATAGAAATGTAAAAAGTAAATGACTCACATGGAGATGTAGCAGTCTTGTATAGTCACATGGAGATGCTGTTCAGAAAGGCACACTCCATGCATTTTTAGACTGGATGTGTCAACTCTCAGCCTATGTTGCTGGTAATAATATGGTAATATAAGGTATCTGGCTACAGAGCCAGAGGTTGGGGGTTCAATTCTCCACTGTAGCTCATGTGAGAAGAGGCAACCTGTGTGGTCCTTGGGCAAATTGCACAGTGATCCCAGAGCACCCCCAGAGAAAGGGAATGGTAGACCACTTATGAATATTCTCTACCTAGAAAACCCTAAAAAGGGTAGCCATAAGTCAACATTGACTTTATGGCACATGATCATGATAATGACACTACAAGAAATGTTCTCGAACGACATAGTTTGCTTGCATCTGAAAGTATTTTTTAAAAATAAATAATAAGCAAAATATTATCTTAGTTAGCTAGTTAACATGATGGTAGATTCAGTTCAGTTTAGCAACCTTTGCATGCTTTCAGTTCCTGCTTGTGCCTCCACCGACAAATTCTCCCTGCTTCTAACCTTGACTCTTCTTTATTTCTGTAGGCCTCACCCAGCCTAGGCTGAGATGTTCGCAGTCTGGATCTGTGCATGGAACAGGAATTATATGACCTAGAAAAGACCCACTGGCATTGCTTAGACTCTTAGAACCATATGTGCATTCATTAAAGGCATGTTCTGGTCCTTAAGCTTCTTTTGTGCCTTTTTAAAAAATGTTATTTTGGCGACAGCATCCTATGATTGAGCAGATGTGAGTTTAGTGCAGTTGGTTGGTTGGTTGGTTGGCTAGTTGGCTGGCTGGTTGGCTGGTTGAAAAAAACTTGTATGTCACCATAAAAGGGCAGCTTACAGAAGTAAAAAGGGAATATCAAAGGAGAAAAAGAAGAAATTATTAGATAAATATAATATTAAAACTAGCTTGGGAAAAGAGTACTAAAAGCACATTGAAATAACAGAAACACAATAACCCATTAAAAAAACTTAGATACAGTAGCTAAGTGCAAGTTTGCCTGACTGGAAAGGTTTGCATGCAGAAAGACAGGGAGGATGGGGCCAGCCTAATCTCCCATGGGAAGCAGTGACAGAGAAGGCCCTCTCCCGTGTCCTTATCTAATGCCTCTGCAACATGTGATGAGACCGAGAGAAAAGCATTCCGTGATTTTCTTGAAGCCCCTTAAAGCTCATAAATGGAGATGCAGTCTCATAGATAGTATCAATCTACCCAAATCTCCATGTGTTCCTCCCTCCCTCCCTCCCTCCCTCCCTCCCTTCCTTCCTTCCTTCCTTCCTTCCTTCCTTCCTTCCTTTTGAAAAAGGGCATTTAAGAAGTGATTGTTCCTTTAATTATCAGAGTATAAGGCAGGGGGAAAAGGGAAATGTAAAAGAGATGAGCTCCAGTCTCACCTCCTTGCTGATGCACAGAAAATCTAGCTCTTTTTGTAGTAAAAGTCCCTCTAGAAGCGCCTTTAAGTAGAAAATGTACATTTACTTGCAATTGTTGTCTATAGTTATAGTCAGAAGTGGGTAGGGATATAATGGAGTCTCCTGGTATGGAGAGAGCTTCCATGCCCGATGCTTAGAGATTAGCTGGGGAAGAAGAGGGAAAAGGAAAGGGGGACTTTATCAAAACAGTAGCATTCCAGGTAAACAGGAAGAAGCAGCTTGTCTTAAGTTCTAGAGGTGAAAAGAACTTTATCAATCAAGTGAGTAGCGAAAAGCGATAATATTAGGCTGTAAAACACCCTTCCATGACACTAACACCCCATGTTAAAGCATGCATGATTTTTATTTCCACTACATCATGTGACCAAGGTCAGGATTTTGGTGGGAGCATTAACATACCTAGAGATGGGGATGAAGTGGAAAAACAATGAATCAGTTTGGTTTGTGGCTAACCATGAACCGCCATGAAGCTGCAGACAAATGAACCTGTTCAAGGTTTGTTTTTCTTATTCATGCTGGGGGTGGAGGGAGGAAGAGAACCTGCCTTTTCCTGCCCTTTGACACCCATCTGGCCACTTCCCACTGCCTCCTTGCGTGGTCCTGCCACCACTGCCTCCTACCACTGCTGCCGCCAACCTCAGAGGCAGCAGACCCGGTCTATCTTCCCAGAGATAAATCCTAAAAGCATAGCACTAGTATCTTATTCAGAATTAAATGACATTATGGACCCTGGAAACCGTCCTCTTTTTGTTTCTGTGTAGAAAGGAAATTTTTAAAAGAATGGTTTTAACATTGTTCCATCAGGAAAAACTGTAGGGTAATTTTCACATACACGTCAAAACATCCTTTATGTGCATGAAGGATGGGGGTCATTATTACCTCTTTGAAGTGGAGGCCAAAATGTAGGACGGTCATTTTCATCTGTGTATCCAAAAGTGAGGGACCTCTGGTGTTCCTCGGACACAGTCTTACAAAATCATGGCGTATGGAATTATATTACAGTGGACCCTCTACTTACGGAATTAATCCGTATTGGAACTGTGGCTGCAGGTCGAAAAGTCTGTAGGTCGAGTCTCCATTGACCTACAATGCATTGAAAACCGATTACTCTGTAACCGGCCGTTTTTGTTCCATTTTTGTTCCATTTTGGTTTTTTTCTGGTATGTAGGTCGATTCTCCAGCTGCAAGTCGAACCTAAATTTTGCAGCCAGAGAAGTCTGTAACTCGACAAGTCTGTAAGTCGAGGGTCCACTGTACTTAACATGTTGCCTAATTCAGCAATCCGTACATGCTCGTGAAAATTCACTAAATGGTCATGGAAGAGGAATAAGATACAAGAGAAACATGCTGTTAAAAGTAAACAATCAAAGAAAGGGTACTTTCATGGAAGAAATCGATTAACGCAACATTCCCTCAGATGTACTTGTAGCTCTCAGGTAATTTTCGTGTACATTTCAATTGGGGTACTGTGTATTAAGCATGGAGCTCATTCAACATTAGAGCAGTGAGTGACCTTAAGAAAATAGAATACAATGTCCGTGCTATCAGTCCTGAAAATCAAAACCGAAGCACAAAGCAAACTGTGGGGAAGGGGCGCCAACGCAAACCTCTCTATCTGAAAAAAGAAGCCACTGCTTCCAATAAGCCAGAGTGACACCGTTCAAGAGGAAGCAAGCTGGGGGGCTCCGACCTGCTCCATTGCCCAAAAGGAAGAGGCCAAAGGGAGGGGGGACCTTCCTTAAATATCATCCTCCATCCTCTCCTCCCTTCCCAGGATAATGGCAGCCTGCACTGCCGAAGCAAGCTCACCAGCGGACCGGACATTGTTCCTGCAGCATGAAGCTGCAAGGTGAAAGATTGCTCCATGAAATATATATCTCCCTTCCCCTCCCACTCCTTCCTTCCTTCCCTCTCTCCCCCCTACCGTTGTGGCATGCCCCACCCGCATTCTGGCCGCAAGTGCTGGCAGTGTAACTTGAAACTTTGGAATTTCTTTAAAAATAAAAAAAATTGCACTGGGCCACATTATGAGCCGACCTGGGCCGCATGCGGCCCTCGGGCCGCAGGTTGGACAAGCCTGGTTTAGAACTTTTCTTTAGAGCGTATCACATTGCAGAGTGTGGTCTGGATGGTGCTGCTGATCCACCCATGGTGATATTAATGGCTCAGCCAGTACGCCAGTTTCCATAGTGTTTCACTCCTCTCCCACGTTCACCTATTCTCAGCTTTATTCCTGAGTTCTGACAAGAGAAAAATGAGTGAGGCCCACAATGGTATCAACCTACCAAGGAAGCTGTCTCCAACCATCCACCTGGATGTTTTCCTCGGTTTGACAATCACCAAAGAAGGCACAAATTGGTTCCTACGCCATGACAAAGCAGACTTTATGAGCCTTCAGATTCAGTGCTACATAGTATAAGGTCATTGCTCCTGCAGCATGAAGCTGCAAGGTGGAAGATTGCTCCATGAAAGAAAAAGAAAAAAATATATCAATGTGTGGAAACAGATTACCAACGGGAAATTGTGCAAAAGTATCTAGCAACCTGAAGAATTCCAAACTGTTGAAAAGAGGTGTGAAGAAATCCAGGCTGCTGAAAGGTGAGAAGTGAGCTGAGGATGGGCATAATGGGTGTTGGGGTGTGCGTGCACAATAAGCAGATTGTTGTTGTTGTTTAGTTGTGTCCGACTCTTCATGACTCCATGGACCAGAGCACGCCTGTCTTCCCCGACCTCCTGGAGTTGGGTGAAATTCATGTTTTTAGCTCTGATGACACTGTCCAACCCTCTCGTCCTCTGTCGTCCCCTTCTCCTCCTGCCTTCACACTTTCCCAACATCAGGGTCTTTTCCGGGGAGTCTTCTCTTCTCATGAGATGGCCAAAGTATTGGAGCCTCAGCTTCAGGATCTGTCCTTCCAGGGAGCACTCAAATAAGCAGATACTAAGTACTGAAACAAACGGCCAGGATCTGAACCACTGAATCATGGGAGTCCCTGTGAAGTGTTGACTTGCCAGTGAACAGGAGATTCCGTTGGTCTCCTCTGCTTGGACCTAAGCAATAGGATTTAGGCCAATGCAAAGAACAGATTGGCTGGTTGATGTACATGCTTTCCCCACCCACCCCAGAATAAAAAGGCAAGACACAAGTGACAGGTTAAAATTAGGGCCACACTTTATTAACTTGAACGTGTTTGACTTAGACTTCTCAGTTAAAGAAGGGTTAGGAGCTAGGAGTCATACTGGACCTCCTCACCCATCTTACACGGGGGAGTCCCAAACGCCAGAAGCAGTCGTCTCCTAAAGACAGTGAGACCCCAGCTGGCCAATGATTGGACCACCACATCCTCTGGCCCGGTGAGCCTCTTCCTTGTAGATGGCCCCCAACCCAGGGAGGCCTCTTGTCCCTCCACCCCTGGATCCATAGCACCAGGAGGTCAGAGGTGCTAGCACCACCCTTTGTGCTCCATGGGGACTCACGGATCCTTGTTCCTTCCACACGACCTGCCCGTGTAGCCTATTTAAAGAGGATGCCCAACCTGAAAATCCCCCCAAAAGGGAGTTTGGACCAGTTCCCCCACTGGGATGCAGAAGCATAGCGCTCTGTCCAATGGATATAACTATGGCCGACGATCACTATCTGCCATTGCCTTCCAGACCTGAGGAGACCTGCAGAGATAAGAATCATGTCCCTACCTATACGTTAGGTAGGGTCCTAAAACATCTTTTATAACTTGCAGAGGACCACTGGCCTAACTCTTTAATCTCCTCCGGGCTGTAACCCAGGGCCGCTGCAGTGGATGCCGCACCTATCCTAAATGAATGCATACCAAATTGTAGGCCTGAGAAACCTACCTTGTTTAAAGCCAAATCGGTCACTTTCCAAAACTGATACTTAGTCAAAGGTGACTGATCCGCATGTTGAAAGAAATATCCTACATCCTGTCCTCACCTAACGATGTATGCTTTTACGGCACAAACTGGGCATATGCCTGCAAGGCTGCATTGTCCCAGGACTAAGTGCCTCCCTTTACCCATTTGATCGGCCTTGGATCATCTAATTGAGATCTCTACTTTATCGTCCATGACTCTAATGTCCTGCCACTGTAAGGCATGCCTAGATTTGTCTGCCTTACCCCCAGCCACCAGCTCACTAATCCTAAGGACACCAAAAATGCTATCAGTGAGACAGCTTTAAACAATGCCCTTTCATACTCATCCCTGCACAAGAACGCCCACTGATCACA